AGAGGCGTTACAAGTGCGTTACCAACCTTTTGGAAATTGGGAATTTGAGGATTATGGAGGATTCGGGGGTTGGGGAGACTGGGGTAATTGGGCCTCCGATAACCTCACTCACCCAACGGAAGTTTTCTTTGAGACCATGGTAGCACTCCGATCGAGCCGGCCCATTCATGCCAAAACATGGCTCTCCCACACTTATTAAGTTACTAAACTACGGTTCTCATCTAAATATAGTTATAGCAAGATATACCAGGATCACCAACTAACCTGCCCAATTTGAAGATCGTAGGTACTAAACGAATTTATCATCTCCCATTTATCCCCAAGTGGTCACCGGTGACCGCTCTCCACTAACTACATTATAGACCTAATTTCCGATATTTAGAGACTACTATTGATTTTCAACAGGTTAATACATAGTAGAGATTAATTAACGAATTTCGAAAGTGCAACTTCCCTAAAATATTTAACTTTATTACTAGTATAAAGTAAAATCGATTAACATTCATGAATTGATCAAGGAAACTGAATGAAATGAATCAATGTGACACTTAATTACCTATTAATCATTGCAATCACTCTAACATGAAATAACTTTTAACTGTCGAATGCATAGCAAAGGTGCACATACCCGATGCAAGAACCGCTTTTCACTACAGTCCCATTATAGATGGTGATCCTATTGGCGTACATCGTTTTAAACTATTATCAAGAACCGAGAAATTTTCAAAGAAACTTTTTGTTTTTTTTTTCAAAAAGGCTTTGACTGCCTCGTTGGCCGTGTGGTCGCAAGTGCGACTGCCGGGCAAGGGGTCTCGGGTTCGATTCCCGGGTCGGGCAAACTATTAGTGGGTTTTTAAAAAAAATCTCAGTAGTAGCACGGAGTCTGGAATTGTGCCCGGTATATGCCAATAGGCTCAACCCCTTTACATGGGACTCATAACATAAATAGTGAAAAGTGGGTGTTACATTGTACAGTGGCATAATGTGCACCTACCCCTTCGGGGTTAAAAGGCGTGATGTTCTGCTATGTTTATGTAAAGACTTTGACCAACCCAGGAAACGTATCCCAGACACCACGACCGGAAAATCAGTCTACTCTACTCTCTCTTTGTTTTATTTATTTCGCTGTTTGATAACACTCCATTCAGTGGCATAACATTGTGTTATAAATAATCACGTAATGATGCACTACAGTGCAATGTTGCAAGTTTGCAACTGCAATTGACTCGGTTCCTATAGAATATAACCCAGAAATGGCGAACCATTGGCACGCGTAACGTTAATGATACCTAACACATTTATGAGATTTGAGGGCGGAAAATCATTATTTTACTTTTCCCGCCTTGTGTGAGGGAGACATGTCAGACTCTTACTGACGAAAAACCATCTATTCCTGCTTCAAGACAACGATGAGATAGGCTTTTTTAAGGGGGGAAAGTCATCGAATGACTTCTCCCGCCTGGGTGAGGCGGGAGGGAGTGTCAGACTCTTACTGACTAAAAACCACCCCGTTCTTTCTCCTATATATATAGAATAGGCTACGATGACAGTATATCATGACTTAAAGTACGATGGTTAACCATCAAAGGTATTAAGTTTGATTGCTACTGTGGGTCATATTTATAAAGAGTCCTGTGCCCTTAAGTTCCTTTAGAAAAATGGCTCATCAATACCAAAGTTTACCATAACTGGTATATAGGTTCTATAACACATAGACTATCTTGCATAATGTCTGCGATCAGTCTGCTATCTAAAGTAGTGAAAGTTATGCATTTGTGAATTTATGATAGTTACGTGGATGCATGCTCCTTGTCGCGGCAAAAAACTGGTTTTGCATCGGTGTTACATTGTCATGTAAAGATACGACTCAGTCTGTCCTAAGGTTGAAATCTGGATGGGATCTGGGTATATCCTAAAACTGCGACTAACCACAAAGACAACAAAGACGGATAGAGCAAAGGACAGTTCTATTTTCAAAAGTGTTTGTATGAGGAGTGATTGAAATATTTTTTTTATGGCATAAACCGATAAACGAACCGACGGATCACCTGATGGTAAGCAAGTCGCCGTCGCCCATGGACACCTGGAACACCATAGGCGTTACAAGTGCGTTACCGGCCTTTTGGGGATTAGGAGTTTGAGGATCATTGGGGATTCAGGGATTGGGGAGATTAGGGAAGAGGAGGGTAATTGGGCCTCATCAATGCTTTGACTTTGATCAAGGAAATAACATCGTTTTAATCTGTGATTGTTAAGTCACCTACCAATTGTGCACAGAGGTAAACTTCCTCTTAAGAGGGAAGCCTTTGTTAAGTAGTAGAATATAATACAATATTAATGATATTAAGACACGAATCTTAAGCTGTTTTGGAAATGTTCGTCTTGAATCTAGGATTAATTGTAAGATAATCTTAGCTAGATCCTATGAAATAAATGTAAGTGCGTTAATCGAACGTTTCCTCGTTGATAAACTGATTTGACTAGCCCACTAGCTAGTACTCGTGAACGTAACTGCAGAGTACAAGTCTTTAACTTTGATTCCCGCGCAAAATGAAAAATAATGGGTACTACTTTACCGATTTTTGTTGAACGTATGTCTCAATTCTCAAAATTATTGTACACATCGTGAAGGAGTTTATGTAGGTATATTTAGGTTTATTTAGATTGGTATGTATAAGTTAATTTGGTACTTGCCAACTAGTCAAATTCTATACTTTTTTCAAACTGTCAAAAACGATAGTTTTCTATGAACTTTGTACGAGATTGTGTATTGTGACGTCATGTTTTTTAGCGTCAAACAGCATGCGTATTTCTTAAAAAATTGATGGTATAATCTTAAGGTAAGTTGGTCATAAAATCAGTTAATGAAAGTGTGATTATATTTTAATATGTTATTGTATTGAACAGTCGAAATAATTTATTTTTGATTATGGAAAGTACCTAATTAGCAAAACTAGAGCTCATGTCGCATTTTTTCTTTCAATCCATAGTAATAAATCAACCAGTTTGTGCTATGTATGGCTAATTTCACCCGCATTTTGCGTTTCATAGCTCAAGTGATTCGCAATAATAATATCGTTGCCTATCACACCAATATGTAACATAGAACAAGGTATGTTAATTAAGACCCGCACCACATTAACAAAGTACCCTGAGTAGTGTTGATGTTGATTCATTCACGTAAAATTTGTATGGAATCCATCCCACACATGTTACGGATATGTATAAATAGAAATATTTCGCAGAAGATATAGTGCGTTCGTAGGGCAGGATCAAAAAGTACTTTGGCCGATTTTAATGTATGTACCTACAGTGATTTACGTTGATTAATTTATTTATATTATATTTTAAAGAAGCTACTAAATAAAGTAATAATAATATTTTAATATATTAGTATGACAATGATAGCTGATAAGAATATCGAATATTAGGAGAATTAATTGCGATTCATTACTTAATCGAATTAAAATTAATATCAAGTTCAGTAAAATGTGATTGTCTCAATAAATTCAGTTCAGTACGGTCTGATGGAGGGCCATCTAATCAGTTTGCTTGTTCCATTAACCGACACGCAAGTTAAACCAGTTGCAAACTATTATTTAATGTTATTTCACTTCGCTGAATACTTGAGCCATTGTTTTCTGTTAGATACAAATACAAGCAATTGAATCGATGTACAACATCCCACAATAGTCGCCAAGTCCGTACTTCCGCGGTTAAATACGAATTCAATTCACTTTGTAAGTATCCATAACAGATTGCAGCGCAACGATTAGAATCAGAGCTCAATATAAATGTGTTATGGTAAGGAAGAAGCAGTATTTATCTAATAAAGCATAACGCTAATTGAATTTCCCGGTAGTACAAGTAGGAATAATGAGATCGTTTCGGTTGCATCGCGGCGGCGGCGGGTAGAGAGAGCAACATGGCGAGCGGGCGGATGCTGCGCGCTACAGCCTCCGCCACGGGCGTAGTACGCCGAACAAAGCCGCGTCCCACCCTACTCGCTTCCTGCCTCCGTTTCAGCCGCTTCCGGTCAACTCGTCCGTAGCACATTTTCATGTATGAAACTGACACTGATTTCGATGTATATGATAGGAACATTCACTTTATAATAAAAATATAGTACTGATATCGACGTACAGTGATATATAGCTGTGGATGAGAGCAAGGAGCGTATATGCGCGTGTGTCGTCGAGAGCGCGGTCCGCGGGCTACTGGCGGCAGCCTCCGAGCGGGGGCGCGGGGGCGCGGGGCTGCGCGGGCCACGCTTTTCATTAAGGAGCGGAGCTACGCCGCCGTAGCAACGGTCGCCGCCCCGGCCACGGGAAAGCTCCCAGCCCTTGTGATTTATCTCCGAAATCTCCAACAAACCAGCGGTGTTTTCCCGAAAAATGGTTTATACTTTCATGCTAGAGTTTAGCTGAAACAAAACTAAATTTATTCTTACTATTTTTTATAGGTATTACATGGTAGAGATGTAAAGTGTATATAAAACATTATAGGTACCTAAATTAGGAAAAGTTTCTTTAGTATAAACATAGGTTCTCTCGTTTTATTTAAATGGGTACCTATATTATTTGTCTCAAAACAATTGACGTAGATTTAGTGTGTAAATTAATAAATAAGTACCATACTTATGTACCTACTTAACACAGATAAGTAGTGTTAGGAGCAAATTACTCGTCGTAATTGGATTGAATGGAATTACATGAAGATTCCTAATATTAGTGAAGGGATCTTCTACATGATTATAAGTTTCCCTACCAATTAAGGTACTCACGAAGGTACCAATATTTCTTCCACGTCTCCAACCCATACAACCAACGAAAGAGTTCCACCAAGCTCAATAAACACTCTATAGCGTCAACAACTTTTATGACTTTGACACATCCTTATTGACATAATAATGAATCAGACTTAAATTTTCCTACTAAAACATACTCAAAGTTTGTTATACTTATATTTTATAGATATATATTTAATTATTTATTACTAAAATGAATAAGCGACAAGCGGCAGAATTCTTATTTACCATCGCAAAAGAAATTCAGCAATCTTTCGCCAGTCCTGTGATTTTCTTTACGCAAAAAGATTATGCCGAAAATATATTTGATGTGTACAAAAAGATTCGTAAAGCTCTACTGGCAAATGTTAGTCCAGAAACTATCATCGATATCGTTTACGAGTTCCACATGGAATGGCTGCAAGCTGTACAAGAGATCGAAAATTTCAAGGAAAATTTGAAAGAAATTCCGCGAAATGCTATTCTTAAAGTCATCAGTTTTACCATGGAATGTGTCGAACAGAGATACCAAGGCATTCGAAAATATATTGGGCATATGCAAGCTTCAATGACGAATGACGAATATTCTCTGATGCAAACTGATCTTTCAATAATTAAAGACCTACAGAATATTGTCATCAGTTCTCTTACGGAGAAATATCACTACATTAGTTCTCTGTCTGATCACGCAGATTACTATGCTCGAATTAACGACGAAATAGAAGAACTTTTATTTTGGTTAGATAAGTTAAATGATAATGTGGCCATTGAGTTCTGTAAAATTTTAGACTTTAAAGTGCCTTTGGGGCCTGTTAGTCTCACAACAACGCTGCAAGAAATAGTTGAAGAAGTTGCAGCGAATCCAAGCCCAGAAGCCAAAAAAATACTTGAAATAGTGCACATAAAAGGACAAATGTTAAGTACATCAATACGCCATAGCTCCGTTAATGAACTAGAGATTTCTAAAATTATTGAGAAAATTAGGGCACTAGAGAATCGTATAAAACGATTACAGACTCAAAATTCTTCTGCTTTAATGGCTCTGAAGCATAAAACGACATTTTTGGAAGAACGTCTGCAATCACTAGAGAATATAAAAAAATCAATAAATAATATGAGACAAGGTACTGGAGACCAAGGTTTACATGAGAACCTTAAGGAGCCTAAAGATATACATATTTTTAGTCATTTACTACCACATCACGATCGTTGCCGGCTTATTGATAAATTGCTACAATTATGGAAGAGCGCAATGATAGAATCTGAACATCAGTCGGTAATATCTATACTGAGTGTGGCAGATTTAGCTGAAACCTTCACTGATGACAATGGGTGTTTTACTGTAGACAAGTATGGAAGAAAAATTTACCGTAATGTAGATGATGACCAATTGTATCAATTAAATGAACGTAATAAACTGGTCCCTCTTCAAGATGATGATAAATGTGTATATTTTTATGATGCCTGTGGCAGATACTACATAAGTGAAGCAAGAAAACGGATTTATAAAGATCACGATGGTGCTAGTGAATATATGCTCACCCATACTGGATATCTCGTTAAAGTTTTGGAAGAAATAGATGGTGTACAATATTTTTATGACTGGCTGGGCCGATATTATATTCGGAAAGAAGATGGACGTCAAATTTATACTGAAAAAAATTCAACGGACGAGTATGAACAGGACGGTTTAGGTAATTTAGTAAAAATTCACCCAGACCCTGTTTATTATGAACCGTGTCCATTGGAACCGATAACCATGAAAGAAAATGAGTATCTACAACAAGAAGTCGGCCAGGCTCTAAAAAAATGTATAACACAAGTGGTTTTAACACAACCTAAGGATCCTGTCGCTTGCTTGGCTGATTGTTTGATCCAATATAGTAAAAACATAAAGGCACATCAGCAGCTCATGAACAAAGAAAAAGAAAGGTTTGAACTTAGCCAACTATTGCATCTCAATACCCCTAAAGATGTTTCCGTTATATGTTCTAGCGCAGAAGAAGCTGAAGACTTTAACTTCATAAATTATGGACGTGACACGGATACGAGTTTTAATACCTATTAAGTAAGTGTACTTGTAAAAACAGATGATGCAAGCCATGCAAGTTATTGTAACCATGGAATGTATTCACGGGAACAATATTACCTACATACCTACCTACCCGTTTAAAGTATTATAATCACTTTGTAAATATCATTCTCCTACTTTGTATACGTGAATGAAATTGTTCTTTATAAAATTGTTAGGTACCTACGTATCTACTTGATTAATTCCTAGTTATTATTATTAGACATATATTATATATTCTGGAAATGTTTTACAAAAATTTAGTTTTACAATACAATACTTAGATATTTGTAATTTATTGTTATTTCGAATGAAAACTAAATATGTTTATTTAATGAGTTTGTTTGATTTTTAAACTTAGGTTGCGACCTATCGTTGCTATGCTTACTTTGTTATTCCCTGATATCATTTAGGTATTAATTTAGTTAGTGATCTGCTTCGGTTTAGTGTAGAAAGAACAGCTAGGTAGGTACTTATCAATACTAACATAAATTTTCTAAAATTTTCTTCAATAAGAAAATTCTCCTGACAACGAAAAATAGGTACAACTAAATAGGAATCAGCAAAATCGTTTGATCTGTTCATACGTGAAGCCATGACCAAAGTAATTTGCGGTTTATTTTGAAAACTAGCGACCCGCCCCTGCTTCGCACGGGTGCAATATGCATGTATTATACATAAACCTTCCTAAAGAATCAGTCTATCTTTTAAAGAAAACCGCATCAAAATCCGTTGCGTAGTTTTAAAGATCTAAGCGTACCTACATAGGGACAGACAGACGGCGGATAGCGATTTTGATTTATACTATGTAGTGATTACTTACTTACTGCCGATTTCATTTATCGATCTTAATTTTAAATCTCTGGAGCGATCTTGATTTTTGTCTTAAATTCTATCAGACATATAAATAACAACACGCCATTTATCTTCGAAGGGGTGTGCAGAGATGCACATTACGGCACTTAATGCCACTACAATGTAACACCCACTTTTCACTATTTATGTTATGAGTCCCATGTAATAGGCGGTGAGTCTAATGCCATATACCGGGCACAATTTCAGACTCCGTGACTCCGTTTCTTCCAGACCTAGTAATACGTTGCTAGACCCGGGAATCGAACCCAAGACCTCTTGCCCGGGCACTTGCGAGCACTCAGCCAACGAGGCAGTCAAATTCTATAGAACTCATCTTAATCAAAAGATTTTGAAATGACATCGTTTATTGACATTGGCAGTCAGATACAGGTACCTACGATGAGACGTAAAATATTGTGCTGTAGAAGTGGATGCGGCCCAATAGGACTGATTATAGTTAACGAATTACTTTGGTTGAAATATAAATGTCGTGGTGGCCCGGAGGTTGAAGACGCCTGCTTCTCATGCATGAGGGTGCGGGTTCGAAACCTACCAACGGTACCAATGTGACATTTTCTGAGTTATATGTACTTTCTAAGCTTATTTTGACATCACTGCACTGACCAACAGTGAAGGAAAACATCGTGAGGAAACCTGGGCTTATAATTTCTAATTATAGGTAAGTTTGAAATCGCCAACCCGCATTGAGCAAGCGTGGTGATTAATGCTCTAACCTTCTCCTTGTTAGAAGAGACTTTGCTCAGCAGTGGGCATATATAAGCTGTTGATGATGATGATGATAAATTTATGTGTATCAGTTGAATTTGTTTTATTTAGACGATAATTGTCAACCTTATTCATACAGAGATAACATTCATAATTGTTAATCAATGTGAACAAAAAATTTAGTAATATCTGAATATTGATGTTATCGCAATTTGCTTGTTTGTCAACTACCTAATAGGAATATCGAACATCTAGAGGAGACGGTGAAGTGATGTTATTGCTAAGCTGTTAGAAATTGTCAAAATTTATTTCCTTATATTGTTGATCCACTTCACTACTCACGTTGGTCTAAATAAATTTACCTAACTAAATACTAAATAGTCATAGGTCATGAAGGTTAAACTTGTCTGTACTAAATCATAGCATCCGCCACATTCTCTTTTTTTTATTAATTATTAAATTTTATCCTATTGTTTACATGTTTGCTTATTTATTGGATACTAGCTTTTACCCGCGGCTTCGCTCGCGTCACTATAGGATAAAAAGTAGCTTGTATGACATATACCCATGCACACAGCGCCATCTATACCAATACTTTTGTTTTCCCTCGGGAATATCCAATTTTTCCGGGATAAAAGTACCCTATCATTTAATCCGGACTTCTAACTTAACTTCTGCAAAAATTCAAAGCAATCGGTTAAGTAGTTACGGCTTGAAAGCGGAACAAACAAACAAACAAACTCACTTTCCGATTTATAATATTGGCTCTGACACTGTTAGCTCGCGTTGAAATAAAACCTAATTCATCAGGCCCTTGAACACCTATCGACCCCCACATATTCACTATTCTCAAAGTCCAAATAATTCATGTAACTAGAAAAGTAGTTAAAATACGAGGGTAGATTTAAAGCGAACTTATCACTTTGTTTCAAATCTACCCTAACCTCATATTTTAATAACGACGCTTTTTTAAAGGGGAGAAAATCATCGAATGACTGCACCCGCCTGGGTGAGGCGGGAGAGAGTGTCAGACTCTTACTGACTAAAAACCACCCCGTTCCTTCTCCTGCACGTCGAGCCGGACCCCCGGTAACCCGTTAAGTTCTCCGCGACTTCGAATCGGCATCAGCCCTATTGGGCCCCATCCGTGGTAGGAGTTATGTAGAGAAATATCTTGGCAATGCTGAACCCTAAAAATACTGAAATAAGTTTGCCGGACCCCCGGTAACCCGTTAGGTTCTCCGCAACTAAAAACGACGCTAAGATCCTTACTTAATATTATAAATCTGAAAGTGAGTTTGTTTGTTTGTTTGTTTGTTCCACCTTCACACCGTAACTACTAAACCGATTGCTTTGAAATTGTGCAGACGTAAAGTTAGAAGTCCAGATTAAATAATAGGGTACTTTTTATCCCGGAAAAATGTGATATTCCCGAGGGAAAACAAAAATATTAGTATAGATGGCGCTGTGTGTATTCCTGTAGATGGCGCTTTGTGCCATCTAAAACAATTCAACGAATTACCTACTAATTGGAAATTTCACGCTTTAATCTATAGCGCTTATTTGGTGTTTATCTACACTTATTCAGTGCGCTTTTCGACTCATTTATTTGCTAATTTATATGTAAAAATACTTAAAAAACACAACGTGGTAACGTTGTGTAGTAGTTACGCTACTTGGCGATAGATGGCGCTGAGTGTTTATAAAACGGGGTAGCGTTGTGCTTTTAAAGTACTTTTATGGCTTTTAAATTTTGGTTCCTACCATTTTACATTGAATTGTGTATTTTATAGATTTTAGGTTGTTAAAGGTACATGAAATTGGTGTCTATGTAGTAGTTACGCTATTTTTTAAGTATTTTTCGCTTTTAAATTTTGGTTCTAACCATTTTACATTAAATTGCGTATTTTATAGATTTTAGGTTGTTAAAGGTACACAAAATTGGTGACTATGTAGTAGTTACGCTACTTGGCGATAGATGGCGCTGAGTGTTTATAAAACGGAATAGCGTTGTGTTTTTTAAGTATTCTTCGCTTTTAAATTTTGGTTCCAACCATTTTACATTAAGTTGCGTATTTTATAGATTTTAGATTGTTAAAGGTACACGAAACCATAGTGGAAACAATACTCAACAATTAGCAAATATATTGTACGCTGTTGTTTCAACGCTCGATAGATGGCGTTAGGATCGAGTTAGATGGCGCTATGGTTTCGTTACCGGCGAAAGTATAGGTTTCGAGCTTCCGTATCAACTATAGTTTAGGGTACGCAACTAGCGCTTATATTGATTATTATTTGTTCGCTTTGTAGGTTTGATTAGTCAAGTGTTATCTTTTCTAGGTAGATATTTAAAGTACTATAGTAATTTTTTTTCGTCGTTCTAAGACGCTTTGTTCATTGTTTACGTTGATTGATACAGTAGCTATATTGGTTAGGTTAGATTAGTGAAGTGGTTTATTTCTAAGTAGATGTCTAAAGTAGTTAGGTTTTCGATAATAAAACGTATAATATAGTTTACCACTCAGTTTTGGTTTAGCATTGCAAATATAACCCTTATAGGAAATAGAAGTCTTTTAAATTAAAATGGGAGGAGGTATTTGTGGTAATGCGAAAATAACTTCTGTTCTTTCACGCGGCTGAATCGATTTTGGTATAAAGTAGTTTGAGTCCTGGAAAAGCAAGGCTTTCCCGCGGCAGAACTTCTCATTCCCACGGAAAAATCTAAAACGCGCGTTATAACCGAATTCCACGCAAGCGAACAGCTGTTTGTTTGTTTGCCTGTCTTAAACGGCAAAACGGAGGTACTTAACATGATTTTTTAACTGAAGGTAGTTGAAGGGATGGGTAGTCACATAGGCTACGTTTTATCTTTTTGTGACGCGAGCGAAGCCGCGGGTAAAAGCTAGTTATAAAATATAGGTCATAAACGCCACTAATATTGCTATGCAAGTGTTTTGACACTGCACTTCTGGCTATTGCTGTACCTATGTTATGGTGTCCGCTTACTATCAGGTAGGTGTTAGTAAACTTGGCACTAGTTGTGTAATTTTAATATAGTAAGTTGTAACGCTCGTTCACACCTCGAGATAGATTTCATAGTATGTAGCAGTTTTTTTTAAATACGTGCTAACTTAGTACTTTCGACTTTTAGTTAGTAACGGACAATTTGTGGTTGTGGAACTTATGGACAATAAAGTGCAGGTTGATTACGTACTATATATTTTGCTAAAGGAAACTAAAGAATTAAAAAACACACATTTTGAAATAAAACATCAGTTTTAATGAATATAGATTAATCTTATGTTTACTATCATTATAGTAAATTACTTATTTGCAGGTTTATTTTTATTTTTCTTTTTCTTTTTGCCTTGTGCATTCGGCGACTGACTGGTGTTAACGCTAGTGTTGGGGCTTTT